ACAGGAGCCGGTGCTGCTGGGAGCCTTCTCTGCAGTGCTGCCTGCCCCTTGGCCCAGCTGCTGCCTCTGTCTGTGGCTCTGACTTTTAAATGTAGTAAGAGTCATGACACTTTTATTACATTTAAAAGGCAGAGGTGCAGCGATCCAGGACCCTGTGCGAGTTGGGACTGCCAGGTCCGGACCTACTCCCACTGCAACTCTGCAGTTTAAATGTAGTAGGAGCTGGGCTGCCCGCATGGCCGACTCCTACTACATTTAAACTGCAGAGCTGCAGTAGGGCCCCTTATTGACTAATCGTGTACTCAATATAAATGTTATCGAGTATACAGTTACCTGCTTCTTAACATCCTTAGTTAGTTTATCAAATTTTATTTTAAATAAATTAATATTTTACTTTATGTCCAATGCAAAAGATTTCCATGTTTTCTTTATAGCAGGGGTGGGGAACCTTTTTAGGTTGGGGCCCACTAAGACACAGTAAAAGCATTTAGGTACCACACAAATCAGAAGCAAAGATCCCCTCCAAAAAACCCCAACCCTCACTGATGTGGCCCCCAGCTGAGACACCTCAGTCCCCTGGAGCTCCAGCCCCATGGCGGGAGGGGGATGAACAGGGAGAACTGAGGTTCAGGTCAAATTTACTCTTCTGGGGTTCCAGGGTTAGTGGATTTTATGGATCCCCTAGGCTCTGTGGTGGGGACACAATGAGGGGTTCAGTGTGTGGGACAGGGCTGCCAATGAGTGGGATAAAGGATGAGGGTGCAGGATCTGGGCGAGGGGGGGATGCAGGAGGAGGTGAGGGTGCAAGGTCTGGGTGGGAGGTGGGATGCAGGAACAGGCTGGGAGCAAGGTATCTGACCAATGGGTGGGGGCAAAAGCAAGGGAAGGTGCAGTGTGTGGCCAGGAGGGAGAGTGCAAGAGTAAGAAAATGTGTAGGAGCAAGCTGGAGGTGTGGGGTCTTGGTGGAGGGTGCAGGGTCTGGGCATGAGGGGGAGTGGGGGGCAAGGCCAAGATTCTAGCCAATGGAAGTACCAAAGAAAGCCTTCAGGAAGCGCATCTGTGCACTGCTGTTCCGCCAGTCGGGGGAGGGGGAATGGCAGTGCACAGAGCCTCTTGTATCCTCTTCTTCCCCGTGAGCTGGATCATGCAGCGAGGCTTAGGGCTTTCTCTCTCTCCCCCTCCCTGCAGGAAGCTGGTGCTAATGCTCCAATCTTGCATGAGGCTAGAGTGCCAGCAAGGGCTCCCTGCTGCAGGGGGAGGGAAGAGGGCTGAGCTTGAGCCATGGGCCCACCTTTAAAGGAATGGTCCGCAGACCACAGTTTGAAAACCACTGTCCTAAATATCTTCTAAGAGCCAGTAAGCAGTGGAAGTGTTGGTAATGCTGCTAGACAATATTGATCTCTCATGGTTTGGCACCCATCAGGTCCCAAGGATTCTAGCTTAGGGAGATTCAATCTGTAGCATTTTTTAAAATATTTGGAAAAGCTGCATAAATCAACGTAGCACCTACATATAGTACATAAAACAGTACCTCACACAAATCAGCATATCGGTCAAATAATTCAGTTATTTTATAACTTGCTTTACACAAAATATATTGTGGAAGTATACTTACATAGGAAGCAAGGTAGATGAGGAAATATATTTTACTGGACCAACTTCTGTTAGTGGGAGCGGCACTTCAGGTCTGGGAAATATACTCAGAGTGTCCCAGCTAAATAGAAGGTGTAACAGATTGTTTAACATAGTAGTAAACTATTTCAAGGGACCATTCAAGGTGAAGTCGTCTGTTAACACCCCTCCAGTCATTTGTTGAATCAAGGGGTAGTGTGTATTGCTGTGGTCACCAAACCGTCGATCGGGAGGGCTCGACCAGTTGATCACAAGGTGTTCGGGGCCCCGCCAATTCCCCCCACCTCCAAGAAGCCCCACTACCTACCTCCAGCAACAATAGAGGTAGTGCCAGCTTCCCGCGGGGTGGATGGAAGTCCAGCAGCTGCACGCCACTTCCAGGGTTTCTGGAAGCGCGCTGCCTGCTCTCCTCCTCCAGGTCTGTGGCGTGCCGGGGACTTGCTGCGCAGGGGGAGGAGGTAGGAGTTGCTGCGCTGGGACTTCCCTTCTCTGGGGCGGTGGGGAATCCCGGGGGGAAGCGCATGACAGGGCTTCCTTCCTCCATGGGGAGGGGGTTGGCCCCAAGGGGGCGCATGCATGGGCTTCCCTGCTCCACGGGAGAGGGGAGTCGGGCCGGGAGGAGGTGTGCGACAGGGCTTCCCTTCTCTGGGGGGGAGGGGAAATCCTGGGAGGAGGCTGGTGCAGGGGACTCTCTGCCCTCACTGGTCCCCTGCCACAGAACCCTGTCCCCTGCCCCCCCTGCACCCTGTTCTCTCTCCCCTGCCCCCAGACACAGAACCCTGCTCCCACTGGCACCCTGTCCCCTGCTGCAGAAACCTGTCCCCTGCTTTCCTGGCACTCTGTTCGCTCTCCCCTGCCCCCAGCTGCAGAGCCCTGTCCCCTGCCTCACTACCTACTAGCACCCTTCCCCAGTACCATGTTTTTGGTTTTTGGTTTTTGGTTTTTTTTTGCATCTCATTTGTGTGGCCCAACTGACTTTTCTGTGGGTCAGTAATCCCTGAGTCAAAACAGGTTCCCTGCCCTTCTCATAAATAAAGATAATGCAGAAACTTTTTATGTTTGACATAGTATTTTATTTAAAAATGAAGCCTGGCCGACAAACCCCCAATTGGGGCCAAGCCCACATCTGGCCACAGCATCAGAACACTTCTGCATTCCCCTTTCCCTCAGACCCTACATCTGAGCCTATCATACACTAGAACCCCCTGCCCTGAGCCCCTCACATACCCCAACCCAAATTCCTGAACCCTCATATCCACAAGCCTGTGGCTTGCTTAGTACCCCAACCCCACATCTAACCCCAACACTGCCCAGCCTGGAGCCCCCTCCCCGATCCAGTGTCCCCTTCTCCTCCTCCTCTTGCATCCAGATTTCCTCCCAGAGCTTGCACCTCTCACCCCTTCCCACACCCAAATCCCTCATTCCCACCCCAGAGCCTACACATCCTGTCTCAACCCAGCGAGGGTACGGCTAGACTGCAGGGCTGCGTCTAGACTGGCATGATTTTGTGGAAATACTTTTAACAGAAAAGTTTTTTCTTAAAAGTATTTCCACAAAAGAGCGTCTAGATTGGCACGGATGCTTTTGCGCAAAAAGTGCTTTTGTGCAAAAGCATCTGTGCCCAGTATAGACGCGCTTTTGCGCAAGAAAGCTCCGATGGCCATTTTAGCCATTGGGCTTTATTGCACAAAAAATTAAGGAGCCTGTCTACACTGGCCCTCTTGCGCAAGTGTTCTTGCGCAAGAGGGCTTATCCCTGAGCAGGAGCATCAAAGTATTTGCGCAAGAAGCACTGAATTCTTACATTAGCACGTCAGTGCTCTTGCGCAAATTTAAGCGGCCAGTGTAGACAGTTGGCAAGTTTTTGCACAAAAGCACTTTCCAGTCTAGATGCACCCTAGGAGTTTTTCAGGATTCCAGAGATATCCAAGAAAAACTCTTCCGCATCCAGGGATGCGTTTGTTCTTCAGCTTTTTTTAGTGGAAGAGCAAACATGCTCTTTTGGTAACCCCTGTATTCCTCGTTCCATGAGGAATAAGGGGGCTTCCAAAAGAAGGGGTTTTTCTGACATTTGGTCCAGTCTAGACAGGCCAAATATTGGAAAAACCTCTTCCTACAGAAGAATTGAAAAAAAAAAAGCAGCAGTATAAGGGTTGGGGATAGCAAGTGATGGAGGGGAGGAGAAGAGAGAGGGCGGGGCTTCAAGGAAGGGATGGAGCAGTAGATCTTGGCTTGTTCTGTCATTTAAAAAGTGATCTTGGGTGTAAAAAGGTTGGAGACCACTGGTGTAGTACATTACAGATTGGATTTATGTCTTATTACAACAATGTCTAATTCATCCTGTCCAGTGAATAAAGCTTGCATATACACGAGATGCCTTCATCATAAGAGCCTTTAAAGATATCTCAGATATGGATGAAAGTTTGTTTAAATAAGGTATGTCACACATAGTGCCACATAGTGGCTGAACAAGTGTTGTATTATATTTCCCACCTTTAACCTATATATTCCTTCCACATACAATATTTACGCTATCACACTATCTTTGAAGTTTAATATGTATAACTCTATTGTGTGTCTCTGAATCATACTGGCTTTTGATTATGTGACCCAAACGTCTAAGATCTTGGTCATCTGGCTATTAGTTGCAATGACTGGCTATAGTTGATTTGGAATCCTTGAGTCGTTATCTTTTTCTATTCTCTGTTCTTTTCAAGTCCTGCAAGAAACAGAATTTTCAATACCTGCTGGCTGGGTATTGAGCCTCAGAGAAATACTTAATTATGCACTTAAATGCTTTACTGTATCAGGCCTAAATGAGTTTCTCCTTTACTGAAAAGACCCCTAAAAATACCAACGAAGAGCATAAAACTCTAAGGGGAAAAACTAAGGATTTAAAAAAAATTGAGGACACTACTACTTAAACTGGGTACTATGGACTAGTCTACACTAGAAGCACTACATGGATGCAATTGCACCAGTGCAGCTTCTCCATTATAGTGCATCTGATCAAGATGCTCTATGCCAACAGGAGAGAGCTTCCCATTGGCATAATAAATCCGCCTCCACCAGAGGCAGTTCCTGTGGTGGTGGGAGAAGCTGTCCTGCCAACATAGTGCTGTCTGCAGTGGCACTTATGTCAATGTAATTTATGTCAGTCAGATGGCTTATTCACATCTCTGACAACTAAAATAGGCAACGTCTACACTACCATTTATCGGATTTTTTTTTCAAATTGTCCCTTTACTGATAATTGCTTAAATATTGTAGTAAAAGAACTGAAGGGCAGTGATATTTTTAAAATTGAAGTTATATATAAAAATATATATATATGAAAAATCATGTGTGTTTTTGTCTTCAGAATAACAAGAACTTTAATAGATCAAGATGGTGCAAATTGGAGAGACAAGTTATCACCAATTCCAGTTGTCCCTGTTTCTGCTCATCTACACAAATGGGATGGGAAAAGCTTTACGTCAGAGATTAAGCAAAATAAGACTGCAGACTTCAGTGGAGACAGACAATCAGAGATGAACAGTATGTATAGCAAGTATACAGAGGTAGAAAAATAGAATTATAGTTTAACAAAAGTTAAACATACCATTTCTTTTCAGAATATTATCTGAAGACCCAATATATTTAAATAATATTAACCCCAAATATTTCTGAAAGAAGTTGGATAACAGTGGTCAAGACTGGATTTAATAACCTGTGTAGATCCATAAGCTTTTTTTTTTTACCACCTGGTGGTTGAGTTTTCTTTGTAAATGTAGTAGGAGCTGGGCTGCCTGCATGCCTGGATGAATTTTCAATGTGCATTTCTTTGAATATTTGTATGCTGTGACTTTTACATAACCTCTCTCCACAATAAATGTTACCTCTTAGATCAAGGATAAATGTACATACTGAATTTGTAAGAATGGCAAATATTTTTTTCTAATATGTGCTGTCTTCAGGAAACTCAGGGCATTTTTGCGTTAACAGGAGTGTTGTGAGCAAAACATGTGAGGTAATTCTTATGCTCTACGCTGCACTGATTAGGCCTCAGTTGGAGTAGTGTGTCCAGTTCTGGGCACCACATTTCAAAAAAGATACAGAGAATTTGGAGAGGGTGCAGAGAAGAGCAACAAATAAAAGGTCTAGAAAATGTGGTCTGTGACAGAGGTGTAGCGAGGGTATTATGTGTCCGGGGGCAAAGGAAAAAATTGCGCCACACACACACACACCCACCCACTGCCATGTAGTAGGGCCCCGAACCTGGTGCACAGCTGAGCCTGACCTTGGGAGGAGTGGGGGGATGGAACTTGTACCGCTTCTTCCCCCGCTCTCTCCAGTTTGGCTATGTCTAGACTGCAAGCCTCTTTCGAAAGAGGCTTTTTCAAAAGATACTTTCGAAAAAGCCTCTTTCGAAAGAGAGCGTCTAGACTGCACGCGGAACTTTCGAAAAGGCAAGCCGCTTTTTCGAAAGAAAGCAGCGAGTGAGTCTGGATGCTCTCTTTTCTAAAAAGCCCTGTTTGCTTTCAAGAACGCCTTTTTTCGAAAGAGCACTTAGGCGTTCTTCCTCGTGGAATTAGGTTTACCACCGTCGAAAGAAAAGCCGCATTCTTTCGATTTAATTTTGAAAGAATGCGGCTGCAGTCTAGGCGCAGGTGAAGTTTTTTTGAAAAAAGGCTACTTTTTTCGAAAAAAACCCCTGAGTCTGGACACAGCCTTTGAGGCCAGGGTCCCACAAGCACTAACCCACCGGCAGAGATGGAGGAGGGTCGGGCTAGGAGCAGAGAGGCAGGGAGGAGACTCCAGCAGGTGGAATAGGAGCAGGGGAGCCGAGGGATGACAGGGGGAGCAGAATGGGATTAAATTGGCGCATGCACTACCCTGCCAGCGGAGATGGAGGAGGGTTGGGCTAGGAGCAGAGAGGCGGGGAGGAGGCTCCAGCTGCTGGGGGCAGGTGGAGTAGGAGCAGGTGAGCCGAGGGATGACAGGGGGAGCAGAATGGGATTAAATTGGCGCCTCCCTAGCATGGTGCCCAGGGTCAACTGACCCCTCCAGCCCCCATGCTACACCACTGCTTCCCCCTACTGCAGATCTATCATCTTATGCATGTGCAAGATCTGAGAGAGCCATCCCATGCATCTGCAGTTAGTGTTTGTGGGGCCTGCTTCTGGGGGGTGCCTCAATGCTGCCACATTCACCTCCGAAGAGGGGGCTCTCCAAAGTAGGCCCTTGCTGCTAACCCACAAGGCATCCACAGGTTCAGTCTCCTTTCACTGGGCCCACTTCCCAGGGCTCATTGGTCTTGGATCTGGCTTCCATCCCCTCTCCAACCCTTGTAACTGCCCAGAGGTGCTCGCCTTCCAGCTTATCCATTTCCACCTCATTCACCCCACAGGGACAGTCTCTACCTCACTTGTTTTAGGGACTATTCTACCAAGATGTAATACAAAGTTTCCATGTAAAAGGACTCAATACAAAGCTAAAAACTTCAGTGAGAGAATGATTAATACAGAAACATGTCTACGTCTGCTGCAGATAGATACCTCTGCCTGCCTCCACGCCTCTCCCCAGAGTCTACAGCCCCATTGCAAAGAGGGGGAGGGGAGGGAAAGGGGCTGAAGTCCATTCACCGGGACTGAAGCAGTCATGAGTAAGCCATGCCTGGGAGTCATTCTCCTGTCCATTGCTGGTGCTGTGTTGCTTCAGGAATGCTGAAATGCAGTCACCTCGGGGGGGGGCTGGACAGCTGTTTAACACCTTCACAAGGGGTTTCAGGCAGGGGGCAGCATGGGCTGCCTTCCTGCAGAGCCCTCATCAGAACCTCTGTGCCCACCTGGCTAGGAAAAGAATAAACAGGAGGATTGGAAATTAATCCACCCAGTCTCACTTCCCCTAGGCAGGGAATGGGCCATCCACATTAGGCCCCGGCCCCCAGCTGGAGTATCTCGTCCAGTTTTAGGTGCCATATCAGGAAAGATGTGGAGAAACTGGAGAAAGTCCAGAGAAGAATAACACAAATGATGAAAGGTCTAGAGACCATGACCTGTGAGGCAAGGCTGAATGAATTGGCCTTGTTTAGCTTGGAAAAGAGAAGACTGAAAAGGGACATGAGAGCAGCTTTCAAGTATCTAAAAGAGTGTCATAAGGAAGAGTAAGAAAAATGGTTCTCCTTGGCCCCTGAGGTAGGGACAAGAAGCAATGGGCTTAACTTTCAGCAAGGGAGGTTTAGGTTGGACATTAGGAAAAACTTCCTACCTGTAAGGGTGGTTAAACACTGGAGTAAATTGCCTAGGGAGGTTGCGGAATCTCCATCATGAGATATTTAAGAGCAGGTTAGGCAGACACCTGTCACGGATGAGCTAGGGCAGTGGTCTCCAACCTTTTTAAGCACAAGATCACTTTTTCAATTTAAGTGCAATCGGAAATCTACGTCTCACGCAAATATCCTTGCCCTTCCTTCTTTGTGCCCCTTCTCTGAGGTCCCCTATACCTGTGCACTCCATCCTCCCTCCCCCTTCTTCCCTCATTTTCACCAGGCTGGGGCTGAGGGTTAGAGTGCAGACTTTGGTCTTGGATTAAGGGATCTGGAGTATGAGAGAGGCTCAGAGCTGAGCTTGGGACAGGCAGTTGGGATGCTGGAGGGGGTTCTAGGAGCAGGTTCTGGGAGGGTGTTTGGATGCAGAGGTGCTTGGGGCTGGGGCAGAGGCTTGGGGTACAGGAGGGGGTTCATGACTGGGGTAGTGTTTCAGGATGTGGGCTCCGTCCGGGCCCTACTTACCTCAGGTGGCTCCTGGGTGGTGGTGCAGTGGGGCTAAAACTCACCCCTGCCCTGGCCCTGCACTACTCCCCAAAACAGCCAGTGAACTTCCTCCCATGTCCTGCTGTGCCCCCCACCCTGCTCTGTGGAGATAGGATACAGGGTGGAAGAGGAGGCACCTTGACATCTCAGGATGTGGGCTCCGTCCGGGCCCTACTTACCTCAGGTGGCTCCTGGGTGGTGGTGCAGTGGGGCTAAAACTCACCCCTGCCCTGGCCCTGCACTACTCCCCAAAACAGCCAGTGAACTTCCTCCCATGTCCTGCTGTGCCCCCCACCCTGCTCTGTGGAGATAGGATACAGGGTGGAAGAGGAGGCACCTTGACATCAGCACCCCTCTTCTCCCTCTCCTGCCCTGCGTAGCAAGCAGGAGGCTCCCGGGAGAGGCAGCTGAAGTGCTGGCACTTGATAGCCTCTTGGCCAAACCAGTCAGGATCACCTGTCAGAGGCTCCAAGATCTAGCAGTGGTGACCACTGAGCTAGGGCAACTCAACTTTGGAAGCCCTGGGAGCCTCACTGATACGCACAGAACATGCTGAGGGCCTCAACTTAAGTGTGGTTGCATATACAAGCAAATATATATGCAAATACCTTCTTTCACACTGACAGGAATGAATACCATGATTAAGGCAAGACTACACAACATGCAGGTCACATTTAAGTCAGTTCTGCTGATATTAATAAAATGCAACATTTACCCGATTTCCCAACATGCACCATATGACAGCACTTTTCACGAGCAATGATAGTCCAAGAATTAAAACTATGCATCTCAACAGACGACCATTACATTGACTACTTTTTTGTTTTGTCTCCCAGCTGCGTGTTGATCCCCACATAAACCCAACCCATACCACGGGCTGCAAGCAAACCAACCATGGGCAGCATGCGGCCAACAGGCCATGTGTTAAGTAGCCCTGGATGCTTGGTCCTGCCATTAAGGCAGGGGACTGGACTCTATAACTTCTCAAGGCCCCTTCCAGCTCTAGTGTTCTGTGATTCTGTACGGCCTGAATGGGGTTAGATAGGAGCTGGTGCCCCCTAGAAAGGACAGGTCCCCAGAGCCCATCCAGACTTGTGCCTGTGCCTGTGCCTCCTACCCTGGGACTGAACTGGAGCCAGCGCCCCCTAGAGAGGCCTGTAGCTTCTTGTGCACAGTGGGATTTTGGCACCAGGCCCCTCCCTCAAGTGGATCCCTTGAACTGGGGGTCAGATCAAGCCCTGTTCAGTCCCACATGGTGGGGTTCCAGGGTCACAGTGCGAGGGGTGTGAATTGGCTAGGTCAGAAACATTTTCCCCACAGGGCTCAGCAAGCCTGGGGGGGCGGGGCTGAGCAGATGGAGAATCAGGGGCAAGGGATGGCTGCCAGGTATCAGTCTCTGCCCCTCACTGTCATTAGTTGAGCTGCACTTTGGGCCAGCGGGCAGCTCCCAGGACTGTCTCCTTTGCAAAGGGGGGGGGTGCTGTCTTCAGGAAACTCAGGGCATTTTTGCGTTAACAGGAGTGTTGTGAGCAAAACATGTGAGGTAATTCTTATGCTCTACGCTGCACTGATTAGGCCTCAGTTGGAGTAGTGTGTCCAGTTCTGGGCACCACATTTCAAAAAAGATACAGAGAATTTGGAGAGGGTGCAGAGAAGAGCAACAAATAAAAGGTCTAGAAAATGTGGTCTGTGACAGAGGTGTAGCGAGGGTATTATGTGTCCGGGGGCAAAGGAAAAAATTGCG